CGGGAGGTCACCTGTTAGGGAGCGGGCTGTGTATTGGAAGGTGGGGGCCTGTAGGCATGAACTTGAAGGGACGTGAACTCACAAAAGAAGCAAACCGTGATTTGTAAAGTTGTGAGTTGACAGATCCCTTCTTTTCTGCCTGGCTTGAAGATGATGGACCTGAGAACCTGAGCATCTTTTACTTGAATGGAAGGGTATTATTTTTTAAGATAAAAAGTGGGGGGAATATTTTAGAAATAACCTTAAGGTATAATATATGGAAATTACTAAGTGGGTCAAGCATTGAATTTATTGAATGGTTCAAGAAAACGTTTGAAAAGGCAGGAGAACTAGCTGAAATTATTTTAATTTTCTTGACAAATATTAATTCACAGCGGCTTTTTGGGAACAAGAAAGAAGTGGTATGTTTAATGCACATATTGCAGCATATGAACTATGTCAGCAGGCTAAAACATGAGCAGAGTAAGGAAATACAAACGTCACGGTTGTAGATTATGACTTTGAGGGAGCTTGTCAGCTTATCAGTATGAAACAGTTTGAAGAGGAGTCTCATGAAGGGCATGTGCCCCTGGGTGGACCAAGGGTTCATTGTGTGGATTTTGAGGCAGAGCTGGGAACAGAGACTTAACTAGGGGTTGCAGCCAGTCATTTAGGAGAGGCAGAGCCGGGGGCAGGGGGCAGCTGTGAGAGCTGTGCACCGTGCTGCCCTCGGATGGGGAGACAGGAGCTTGGCCTGTTTGGCGTGTCTGCACATGGCACAGGTGCACAGATGTCCTAGAGACATGTTTTAGCACTTCCTGGAGCGGGGAGCGGAGAGGTAGGTAAGAGGAGAACAGGCGTGAGGCGGGAGTCCACACAGCCAGCTTTGCTGTCCCTACTGATTCACCTGCTTATCCTGTGCCAGCCACTGCCTGGACTTGGAGAGGGTGTGGCTGTGTCTGTGTCTTCTGTCTAGAATGCTTGATTGCGGTCACTCGAAGAATGAATAAGAAATGGCTTGTTAAACAGAGGTTGTCAGAGTCTAGAAATTGAGGTGCTGAAGCAAGCGTTTGAAATGGGCAGTGGCCGGTGTGCGCTTCACAGGGGCAGCAGGTGAGTGAGGAAGGATGACTCAGCGTTGCGCAGCCTCGGTGTGCTTAGGGTGCAGTGCAGAGGGTGGAAAGGAACGTTCCGTCGTGATGTAAAAATTCCTTTCCGACTTTGGAGAGAAATTTATCTGCGGGGATATTTCTAGGGGAAATTCACGGCTTTCACACTGTCACCAGAGCTTTGGGCTGTGCACGTTTAAAACCCTGAGGGTAAAAGTGGTGAAGACCAAAGGATCCAGAGATAGGCTTATGCCAAAAGTCAGAGGCTCCAGGCCTAGTGAAGAAGTCACTTAAAACTGTCGATTTATAGAGAAAAGAACTGCCTGTAGATTATATGCTTGCCTTGACTCTTACGTGAAATGTTAGAAGAGTGTAAGTAGTGTAGGTAATTCGTCTGTGTTGAGTACTTGTCGTGTGAAGGGTTACGTTTGAATAAGAAAAAACCCTGACTCATGTCGTATGCTGCGTTCTAATCCACAGCACAGTAAGCCTGTCCTTGGGGCCACGGCGTTCCTGGCGGGCTCTCGGCTCATCCCGGTGCAGCCTCCCGGAGACAGCACTGCCTGTCTTGCGTGTTCACTGCTAGGAAATTGTGGTGAACGTGCGTAACCAGTGGTGCGTTGACATTATTCTCTCATGCGACAACAACAGTTGGGCGCACCAGCCTGCCCGCCGCGCTGACAGGCGGCGTTGGCCGGCCAGGACCCACCTCTTCACCTCGGGGTTATCGGCAGCCCTTCCCTCCGTTCTGACCCCAGCCCCTGCTTCCAAATGTGGAATTCAGTCTGCTGAGTTACAGTGTTGACATTTGTTTTCTCATTAATTACTGAGTACGTGTATTATTTATTTTTTGACCTTTACATGTCTGAGGAGAGAAAACACTTGTTTGTGGCGGCAGATCTGGGATTTAGCCCTGGCGGAGAGTGAAGATGGGGGTCCTCAGTGGAGCGTGGTGGCTCCTCCCTTGGCTGTGCTTGTGGGCTCCTGCTCCGCAGTAAGCTCGAGGGCTGGGCCAGCCTGCTGGCGGTTTACTTTCCTGGCTTCGTTTATGGCAGGCGACTTGCAAATGCTTTGATAAAGCGCTGGAACACTTGAGTGAAACTAAAGGAGACACCAAGCATGTAATAGGTGAAGATGGCCTTGTCTGGGGACCCACGCGCTCTCTGGTCACATTGTCACTGCTCCTGGCGATGGCGGGGCCTGTCCTCCGAAGCCTGTCGCTCTCTTCCTCTTTCCAGTGAGGCGATGTTGCTGTCATCATTGGGAGGACGACCTCAGGCCTCAGGGTCATTTTTGGCCTTCAGCCAGCGAGTTGTCAGGGTTTCAGAGCAGAGCAGTAAGCACGCAGAAAAGCTGCTCAGACTGAGGAATGTGGATGAGGGAGGCAGAGGAAGGTGAACTAAGGGTTAGTCGGGTGTCAGGGATGGTGCGGGACACAGGAGGCCCTCTCCACTGAGCAGAAAGATGAAAGGCCTGTTTCTTTATTTGGCGGCATATGTGCAGTGAGGATGGAAATTAAGCTGCCAGTGATGATGGAGAAAACTGTAACAGTAATGACTATAGCTGTTGGAGCAATAGAGCTGGTAAAAGACAAAACATGTGGTTTAATACTGCATAAAGAATACCAGCTTCGGTTACTTACATGAATTGCTTATTACTTAGCCTAATTACTATCATTTTTAGCAGTCATGGTACTATTAAATGCATCAGATTTAGTTGTGAATTTCGTTTGTTTATAGTGCTAGCTTCTCTGTATTTATGTTGTCTGATCAATTGTACATCTGACTTATTAGCCTTTTTAAATTCGTAGCTCTCATTCTGTTAGGAAGTATGACCTTCCTAAAGTTAGTTTGTATATTTGGTCACATGAAAGGCTGGGTATTTTGTTACAAAGGACCATAAATTTGTCAGTTTAACAGGCAGCCATTAGAAAATTGCAGCTTTTTTCCTAGCCTACTCAGGGAAACATAGGTATTTGCATCTAAAACTACTCGCTAGCGTACTTGAGGACTGAGTGCAGTTACAGGTGCCTGTGCCTGATCAGAACGAAAAGAGGTGGGAAGAGGCCAAACCTTGTAGAATATAGAGTAGGAGGAGGAAAGGGGCTCCCTGGAGGGGAACTGAGGATTTTCTGTGTAAAAAATAATGACCATAAAAGGCTCAGGAAACTTAACATGGAAACCTCAACATTTATTGGTTTATATTTTATGAGATGAGAGGGTTAGAGGGAAGAATTTGGCCGGAGGGTGTCGCAGAGCAGTTTGCACGGCACCTATTTGGACATGAACAGGTGATGGGTCACTTGACTGCTGAAAGATGGCCTGTGTGGTTTGCCTCACTCGCCTTCGTGGGAAACCCGGAAGACTGCATTGCTTTGAAGAGACGTTAGTGACCATGCAGCTGTTTTCATGGGTGGGAGAAGAGACCGGGGATCTCTGACTCTGTAAGTTCATTTTCAAGTGGGTTAGGGAAGTGACTGTGTGTCCATGATTCATTCTGTTTCAAAGGTACATATTAGGAAAACTATTGGTAAAACTACCTTCAGTAATACATACAGTACCTTTAAATTTGGAGAACGAGTGCCTGTTAGACCAGGACCATCTTAGAAGGCCCTAGTTTCTCAGTTTTTAATACCAAGGGGCTCGGGGCCTGGTAGGTGCTCAAAATGAATGTGTTGAATTGTGTGTACACGTTTCCTCTTAATCAGTATAGGAGCTGGTGATTTAGCTCAGTAGTAGAACATATGCTTACCATGCACGAGGCCCTAGGCTCAATCCTCAGTACAAAAAAAGAAAAAAAATAAATGTCAGTGGGTAATAGTCATAGCTAATGTTTTCAGTGTTCCTAGCGCCTGGTTCTGCACTAGATCCTTCTCACCAACTTCGGTCCTCCCTTGGTGTGGGTGGGGATCGATTTTGGGGCCCTCCCCTCCCAGGATGCCAAAATTCATGGGTGCTCAAGTCCCTTGGGTGAAATAGTCTTGCTATTTGCATATAATCTGTAAGTCTTCCTCTATATTTTAAGTCACAGATTATGTATAATACCTAATACTATGTAAATACTAAATAAATAATTATCATGCTGTTCTGTTTCATTTTGTTTTGAGACAGGGTCTCACCATGTAGTTTAGGCTGGCCTTGATCTCACTAGGTAGCCCTCCTACCTCATGGCAATCCTCCTGCCTCAGCCTCTCAAGTGCTGGGATTTACAGGTGTGAGCTCCCACACCCAGTTTGTATTGTTTAGGGAATGACTATAAGAAAAAAGTCTTTACATGATCAGTTCAGGTCCAGTTCTTTTTTTTTCCCCCTGAATATTTTCTATCTAAGGTTGGTTGAATCTGTTCTAGGGAACCTGCATTTTATCCAGTGGACACCAGCTCAGTGGGAAGCAGGCACTGCTGCACAGTACTCTGACAGAGGAAAAAGCTGGGCAGAGCGCAGTTGAGTAATTTCCCCAGTAGAGGTTAGCATTCAGCTCCAATACAGTGTACTCCTCATTTAACTCTGTGTCCTCTGTCATTGTATCTTATACCTGGAAGGAGCTGAAGTTAGAAAAATAGTTTTAATATACTTGAATTAGTGGTTAAATTGTCACGATATGCTATGCTATAACGACATGTAAGTGTTTTCTCAAAAAAGGTTAAATATCTAGTATATTACCAAAAAGCAGTGGGTTAAAGACCTTGATTTTCTTTGGCAGATTTATCAGATGTAGTAGGGTGACCATAATTATTCTATAATAATTTTCATAATTATTATGAAAGTATGAATAAGTATGTGGTGATGGCAGGAATAAAGGCTACTGTCTCGGCGACTAAACTATGCCATCGCCCTACTGAAAGTTGTTTGTCCTTTATACATCTTTGAGGTAAAAAAATATTAAAATAATTTTCTACATTTTTGGCTTCCAGGGGGATTCCTCGAGGTCAATGTGAGTGAAGTCAGTTTTGATGACGTGCACCAGCTCTTCTCCAAGGACGTAGAGATTGAGCCAGGAGGTCACTGGAGGCCCAAAGACTGTAAACCCCGATGGAAGGTGAGGCAGTTTTTCATAAGTAATGTGACCATGGCTGTACATTTGAAAAAAACATTGCTTGATTCAAAGTATAGAGTGAAATACCATTGAGATTTGATACATTTAAGACATTAAAATATTCAGTTCCAGTGTGACTTACTAGTGTCACTTGTAAAGACTAAATGTGCCTGTGCATGTACAAAGTGTGCTCTTGTGGTCAGTCTCTTGGAGTTCTTGATGAGCAGTGCAGGACTTGGGTTCTACTTGGAAATAGATTTCTTTTGGGGTCAGTTCTGTTTGGAAAAAAAGCTGTGCGTCCTCTGCCTTCTGCAGGAGTTGCTAGTAACTGCTGACCTGCAGGCAAAGCCCCACGGCTCTCTGAAACTGTGAGAACTCAACTGGGAGGTTGTCAGTAACCTGACTTCCAGATGCATCTAGCACTGGGGTCACTAAGCTCTATTTCTCAGAAGCAGAAAGCCTCAAACAGTCACCCACAGGTTACTGTGGTACTTGAAAGGAAGTCGCACAGTGCCTTTCACAAATCCACACAGGTTTTTGATATCTCAGAATTGTACTTAATGTTTGGAAAACCATGAAGATAGGTCTGCTTCTGCTCTAAAAGTCTTAAAAACTGTTGTGTAAGCAGAGTTGCTGTCAGTACTGTGAAACTGCTTAATAAGTGTGCATTCATACACTGTTATGTTTGAATAAGAAATGATGCTTTTGATTGGATCAAATGTTACGTTCTAGAGGATTATGATGTAACCTTAAACCAAGAGCAGTTTTCTGTATCTCTTCTAAAACATTAAAAGATATGTGTATGTTAGTGCCCTCAAAAAAATCACTGGTAGGAAGGAGAATTGTATATTAAACTCATGGAAAGGATCCTCTGACTTCACTGACCTTGAACTCTCTGTGTTTAGGGATGTGTATAATTAATGTCTGCATCCCTGATGCAGAACATACTGTTTTGTGTAAGGTAAGCAGTAAACACAATTTTGTTGAATTGGCTTTATGGGACTAATAAATGCCTTTTTGGCCTTGTTACAAATGATTAAATAAACATTCAGCTTTCTCAGACAAGTTACAAAGCTGCTTAAATCAGTTTCAGTACAAGTTTCAGCAAAATACTCTGATTGTGTAATTAATTGCCTTGTGCTACTTCCCAGCTCATTTACTTAATAAATGAATCTTTTCATATTTCTTGATTGAATTTCCTCACATTTGTATCTGTATGACATTGCTCTATTTACATGCACTTCCACTTTTTAAAAATGTCCTAGGCAAATCAGTTATTTTATTACTTGAGTGATGAATGTGTATGTTGAATGCTAATGGAAGAGAAAAACTCAGTAATACAGACTTTAAGGTCAGAGGGAGGTAGATGTGGGGATGTAAATGTGATGTACAACGTACGCTTTGGGTGTGTGCTGTGTGTTGTATTAGCAGAATACTTTGGGATAGGAAAGCAAGTGTCCTTTTTCCTGAGTCAGTATTACATCAGACAGATTTTAAGTGTGATGGTGTGTTTTCTTCTAATTTTCTTGGAGTAGTTCACAGTAGTAATTCCTACTTACAGGCTATTAGTAACCTGCAAACTCTGTGTGACTTTGTGGATTATAGTACTGAAAGGAGTTACTGGAAACAAAGTAACTTAGGGCTATAAAAATTAGCTTGTTTTACTGAGGATACTATATGATACACGTACTTCAGCTTATAGCAAACCTTTCTCTTGATAGTCTTTAGTTCTAGCCTGTGAAACTACTCAAGGTGTGAGAGGAATTCTAGGAATCCTTCGAAGGTGAGCAGTACATTTTAATAATGTCCCATTCTAATATTGGAATACATTTGAGAAAGCGTGAAAGAAGGAAAAATTAGATTTATGTTAAATATCTATGGGTTAACATGATCCTTAATATTTGAGACTTTTTTTTTAACCAAGTTAAGTGACGCTCATTTAATTATTACTACGATCTACCAAAATTAGCGCTGTCAGCAAATCCTGGGTGTTCCTAATAAGGCAGACCTCTGGAAGATTACTGCACAGGTTATACATTTTCTGAAGGCAGATACTTCTAAAGGGGAGGTTGGAAGAGGAAGATGGTGATGCTTTTTAGGTAATTGAAAGTGACATGTTTATCTTGACATTGCCTTTCCATTCAGGATTCAGGTGGAGGACTTGAACAGCTGTCTGACATCTATAGGCATAAAGAACCAGGCGGCTGCTTGGTGTCATTACTTACTCAGAGGGCTGGAGTTAAACTTCTAGTCCATGGTCCTTTAGAGATGGATCTGAGCCACCCGTGTCAGAAGTACCTGAGGTGTTTGATAAAAATGCAGATTCTTGAACATAGTGTGTACACTCTGACTCTCATATTGGGAAGGGAGAAGAATCTATCTTTATAACTAGATGTCTTCAGTTTTCTCATGCTCCGCAATTGGGAACAGTTAGAGAACGAGGGTGTGCTCGCTTCCACTTCCCTCAGCCTCGCTCAGCGCAGATAGCTTGATAGGCTTTGCAGTAACCAGATCTGAAAGCTGTATCATTTAGGGACCACTGGCTGGTGCTGTGCTTAAGGTTTGAAAGTGGGACAAAGCTTGGTGGAGGGAGTTTACATGGTGAACATTTGTCTTGCTTGTCCTCTCATCTTCCAGTAGCACACTGAGGAAGAAATACCCAAAGAAAAAAGTAGGTGTGTAAAAGTAGGGAGCAAACTGCACCGGATAGTTTTTCTTGCACAAGCGGTGATGAGGAAGGATTGGGGAAGAGGAAGTATTGTTCTTTCAGAAGATAATGGCCAGGCGTTCTTCATCTCCACTGGACCTGGGTGTATCAACAGGAGAGTGGCTCGCACAGCAGGTGGGGGCACGTGGAAGAAAGCGTGTCCTCAAGCGAAGGCCACTCGGTCTCAAAGTGAGTGGTCAAAGAACGCTGAGGTCTTCTTTTTCTAGACAGCAAATTATGAACTATGGAGAATGCTTATGAGGGGTGTGGCAAATGAAATTTTCAGATATTATTTAGCTTTATTTTAATTTAAAAAACTTTGACATATCATTGACAGTCTTTGGTAGTGTCTCATTACAGTTTGAGCATTTATTTGCTATTAAAATATCAGTTTAACTTACTTAGATTTGCCAAGACATTGGTGACTTCTTTCTCTTATAATATTCCCATTTTCCTTCTAAGATTAGAAAAAACCCCTGCTGTTAACATTTTAAATGCTTCACTAAAGAAGTTACTGTATTAAGGATTACAACTTTGCTTTGGTTTACTTTTATGTCTTCAACTCATAAGTAATTGTATTTAATTAATATAATCCCTCAGCCATTTGATAGCTTCTTCCCTTAAGTATAATTTGCCTTGACTGCTTTGTGTATGTGCATGTGCATACAGCTGGGATTGAACCCAGGGCCTTCCCACGCAGCTACATGCCCAGCCAACCATTTTATTTTGAGATGGGGTCTGGCTAAGTCGCTGAGTTGTCCAACTGAGCTTGAACTTACTGTCCTCTTGCCTAAGTCTCCTGGAGTGCTGGGATTACAGGTGTGCACCATCAGGCCCAGCTTGCCTTAACTGCTCTTACAGGACATTTACAGTATGTTGTAGGTGGCCTGCTCCTTGCCAGATGCAAAACCAGGAATGCCAAGCTTGTTCTCTTTTTTTGCTGCAAGTTATCATGCCTTCAGATAAGGCACCTAGCAGGGTCATGCACTACCACCAAACTCATCTTGTGCTTTTCATAGCAGTTTCCTACATTAAGAGGAAGTCTAGGGGCGTCTGACCTGGCTTGGCCAGCTGTATCAGTTTAGGAATTCCTTGACTGTGACAGCCACACTGAAACCTGCCAGCAAGTCCTTTGTCTGTAGGGAGTTCCCAGCACATGCAGGGACAGGAAGGGAGTCCTGGATACCAGATTAGTGTTGCCTGTGAGGCTCCTGGCAGCCAGTGTCTCATTTTTCTTGGTCTCAGCATGAAAGGAAAATGGGTAGTGTCGTTCTAGTTTAGACACCTTCAGTTTTACTAAACATGACCATATTTTATCTTTTAAAATAAAACTCTTAAAAGTTTAAATTTTTGTCCCATGTATGATTATGGTAATGTAAAACATGCAGTTAAATGTTGCTGTTTTCTGTTTTGGAGGGGGCTGGGGGTTGAACCCAAGACCTTACACATGCTGAGTGCTCTGTTGTTGAACCGTACCTGTAGCCCTGATGTTACCGTGTTGCTGACAATATCTAATGTTATGTCCTGATTTTACAAATACAGTTAAGTCCAAAATTTTTGTGCTCTCAGTTATTCACATTTATTCATTAGTAAAATATATTTGTATGAATAAAGTTTTAATCATATAGTGTTGTTATATAATTTCCTATTGTAAAGAATTTAAATTGGATTTAAAAATCCAGTACATAGAGTGACAGAAGTATTTTAGATATTGTTCCACTTAGTCTTAATTTCAAACTTTATTTTAAAAATTCACAATTATAGTAAAGCTACCTTAGCCAAGAAATTACTAAGAAAAGTAACTTAAGAACCATTTTAGCTCTCTCAAGAGGAAAATATGAATTGTAAAGAGACCTACTTTATAGGAATGATAGAGTTTGACACTCTACCCCGTAAATATGTACAGAAAAAAGGAAAACATAAACAACATTTTGGATTTTAAATTGAATTGAAAGTGGTTCCATTTGAATATCTATTCTCTCACATGGCTTATGTGGCCTAGAGATGTTGACGAACATAGTGACAGAAACCAGACTCCTCATGTGTGAGGTCTCAGGAAGTAGAGAATCTGAGAAAGCAGCGGCTGATGATTACTCACTTATTCCCACACTGTGCTGACACAGTTCGTAAGGACCGTGCTGTGTAGTCTTGAGCTCCTGTTTTTGGGGGTTTTTGCAATGCTGGGGTTGAACGCAGGCCCTTGCATGTGCTAGGCAGTCATTCAACCTTGGCTGCCTTGTATTTCCTATTAGAAGAAAGGGTAATGTACTAAGAAACTATGTTCATTTCTATGTACATTTATATGATTGAGTTACTTTAGTAGGCTGAGGCTAAAACTTCACATGTGAAGAGTTTGGTTTCTGTTACTATGTTTCTGAAAAATATTTCCAGGTGAGGATAATATTCAAGTGGAAACACTTCAGTTCCATTCATTCATTTATTTATTTTTGTCTTTTTGAGACAGGGTTTCACTATATGCAGTTCGGGCTGTCTTTGAACTCACTTTGTAGTCCAGGCTGGCCTCAAATTCACAGCAATCCTCCTGCCTCAGCCTCCCAAGTGCTGGGATTACAGATGTTTGCTACCATGCCCAGTCTTTCAATTCAGTTTAAATCCCAAAAAATTGTTTAGCTTTCCGTTTAATTGACATGTAGTAATTTTACATATTTGTGGGGTACAGTGTGATAACTCAGTACTTAGATGCAGTGTATAATGGTCAAGTCAGGCTAATTAGCATTTTCTGTCTTTATGCATTTATCATTTCTTAGTGTTTAGAGACTTCGCACTCTCCTCTTCCAGTACATCATCGGTTTTCGTTACCACACTGTGACACAAAATACTAACACTGACTCCTCTTACATATTGTACCCTGGTACCCATTCCCCAACCTTTGTCTCTGCTGCTCACTACTTTCTGGCCTTCAGTAATACTGTTCTACTCTCTCCTTTGCCAACAACTTTTTTATCTTCCACATATGAGCAAGAACTTGGTATTGGTGTTTCTGTGTCTGACTTTTTTCACTTAACATAATGTCCTTCAAGAAAGTTGTGTTACTTATCATCAACTTGAAAACCTAACATTACTCTTTTTTTGTCCGTGTCTGTTCCCCACTCCTCACATTCAGTCCTAGCCAAACCCTGTTTATCTCTTTCCTATTTGGGAAATTCACTTACCTCTCTTCTCTTCGACCTTTGCCATCATTCCGCCTGCCGTTGCCATTGGCCTGATGGCGTTCATTTCCTGAAGCAGCTCCCTGAGTCCACTTTTGGTCCTCTCCAGCCTGTTCTTTGCTCAGCCACCGTGGTAGTGTTTGGGCCGTGACTTAGCACTCTTAGTGTCTTTCAGAGGGGTCTCATGCTGTTCGTAGGACAAAGCTCATGATCGCTAGACGTTCATCTGTTCAGAGCCTGTCCGCGTCTCCTCGGTTTCACGTGAAGGCAAGGGCCGTGTCTGTGGGTGCTTGCCCTTGTATCTTTGGTGAGAAAGTTCCTAGGGGATGACGTTAAAGCTCTCAGCAGTTTCCAAAATTAGTTTGTATCTTTGCCTGTGAAATTTGCTGCCGTATTTATTTACAAATGTGACTGTTTTGTTTTAAAGGTGGCAGTTCTCATTCCTTTCCGTAATCGCCATGAACATCTTCCAATTTTTTTCTTGCACCTGATTCCTATGCTCCAGAAACAGCGGCTGGAATTTGCCTTTTATGTCATTGAACAGGTGAGAATATTTTTCCAAATGGTCATTAAATATTGTAGAACTTAAACTGTAAAAGATGGCTTGATTAAAAGTTTTAAGATTAATCAGTTAACTATTGATTTTTATAGTTGTATAAAATTATATTTTAGATTGAGCCTGTATTTTTTTCTTTTAATAATTTTCTCATAATTGTAATTTGGTCAGATGAGTTGACAAACAGTCCTATTTGACTTTATGGTAGTCCTGATATATTTTAATGATACTGAAAGCATTGGATTATCAAATTTAGGTTTTTAGTAATTGTACAGCTGATATTTATCTTATGGGATGAAATATTCCTTTGACTTGTTACATTTTATGCTTTTATGGGGCTTAGGATTTTTGTTTATTCCTGAAAACACTCTGTTAAGTTCCATTTAATCGAGAAGTTGCTTGGTGTGTAATGTAGGCTATTTGGAAACATATAGCCTCCTGTACTTTTTGGACTCATCACTGATGTTGGAGTGAAACTCAAAACTCCTAAATTACAGTAAAACACTCTAGAATCACCTCATAATATTTAATTTTAAAAGAGCATTTCAGTTTGTGACCCATGAATTTAAGTACAGAAAGTGAAGGGTAAGATTTTGTTGTTGTTGGTATTTTTCAGCAGCAAAACATTGATAATTCTTGATTGAGGATTTCTTTCACTACAAAGCAGTTGCTGGTTACCCCTGAATATTAATACTGTGTGAATTTACTAGGTAATTAGGAGCACCTGAGTAAGAGCCAGGGGGTAACCTTAAAAGGAAAAGTGATACACAGTGAACATTTGCTGTCCTGTTTTGAGTTTTTCAAAGTCATCTTGCTCGAGGAACCTTGAGTGACTCTGCTCAGCCGGAGTATATCATTTGCCAGCCTTACTTAGCCAGACGTTAGCAATGGCGCACTGGCCTTTCCAGGGTGTAGACCCAGCTCAGTAGCTGCTAAGGAAATATGCTTCGAATGGACTGACTGGTAAAAATTACATGTATATTTTATTTTTTCTTTTAATTTTTTATTAGTACATATTTGTCATGCATCATGCTCACGGTCATTATAGGGAGTTTGTACCTACGTAAAATATACCTTAATTCTCTCTTCTCCCATTCTGCTCTGCCCTTTGACCTTTTCTCCCCTCCCCATTTACTGAACCTTTGTTTCCACTTTTCCCTTCCATTTTTTTTGTAAACCCCTTTTCCCTTACTTCACTCCCTCTCCCCCACTCCCTTGTTCCTTTTCCTATTTAAATGGTTCTTCTTACCAGTGCTGCTTATTTTCATTAGGATTTCCTCATACAAGAGAAGCTATGTAATATTTAAACTCATGTGTCTTGTTTATTTCATTTAAAAATTGTGGTCTCAAGGTGCATCCATGTGCATACGAATGACTCAAGTTTACCTTTCTTTATGGCAGAGTAGTATTCCACTGTGTGTGCACATTTTCTTTTTCCATTCATCTGTTGATGGGCATCTGGGATATTTCCAAGATTTAGCTATTACAAATTGTGCAGCTATAAACATGGGTGATATAGCACATCATAAACATGGGTGATATAGTGATATAGCATATATCACTCTGGAATGATGCTTTTAATTCTGTTGGGAAGATACCAAGAAGGGGAATAGCTGGGTCAATGTAACCTGTAGTTTTAGTTTTTTGAGGAATCTCCACACTGATTGCCACAGTGGTTGCACCAGTTTACACCCTCACCAGCAGTGGCGAAGGGTTCTTTTTTCCCCATAGCCTCAGTAGCATTTGTTATTGGTTGATTTTTTGATAATAACTATTGTTTTTGGAGTGAGGGGGAATCTCAGTGTTGTTTTAATTTGCATTTCTTGGATTACCAGGAATGTTGAACATTTTTTCTGTATTTATTTGCTGTTTGTACTTTACTTCTTTGTCCGAGAAATGTCTATTCATTTCAGATACTCATTTTTGTATTGGGTCTTTGAATACTTTAGTTTTTAATGTAAAGGTCTTTCACTCTCTTGGGTTGATTCTGTCATTTTTCTTGATGCTGTTGTGAAAGGTGATGTTTCCCTAATTTCTGTCTCAGGGAGTTTATTATTCATGTAGAGGAATGCTATAGATTTTTGAGTGCTGACTTTGTATTGAGCTATGTGACTGAATTTGGTTATTATATCTAGAAGTCTATTGGTGGAGTTTTTGGAATCTTCTGTGTAGAGTATGAATCATGTCATCTGCAAATACTGATTCTTTCTTTCCTGTCCATGTATTTTTATTTCTTTGTCTTGTCTAGTTGGTCTTGCTTGTGATTCCACAACTAAATAAGTAGGAGTCGTAGTGGTCATCCTTGTCTTGTTCCTGATTTTAGAGTGAAAGCTTTGTTTTTGTCCATTTAGTGTGATGTTGGGTGTTGGTTGGTCATAGATGGCTTTTAACAGATTGAGATAAAGATCTCCTATTCTAACTTTCTGCAGGATTTTTATTATGAATGTGTGTTGTACTTTGTCAGATGTTTTTTCTGTATCGGTTGAGATGATCATATGGTATTTATCTTTGGTTCTGTTAATGTGGTATATTACTTTCATTGATTTGCGTATGTTGAACCATCCTTGCATCTCTGGGATGAATCTTGCTCAGTCATGGTATATAATTTCCTGGATGATTTGCTACATTCTGTTTGCCAGTATCTTACTGAGGATTTCACATCTACGTTTAGTAGAGAGATTGACCCACTGGTTGTTCAGGAGGGTATTATTTAATTTCCATGTGTTTATGTAGTCTTGTGGTTTCTTTTGCCATTGATTTCCAATTTCATTGCACTGTGATCTGTGATAATATGCATGAGATAATTTCAGTTCCTTTGCATTTACTTAAATGTGTTCTATGAGTGTGGTGGATTGACAACTTGTAACACCCAGCTGAACTGAATCAGCATGGTGCTGGGTGTGGAGGGCCTACCTGAGGATTGTTGCCAATGCCATAAAAAGATGAACTGGAGAGGAAGAAGAGATGGGGGCTGTAGGTTCTCCTGGAGGAGCTTGTCCTGCTGGCTTCCCTGATATGAACTTGGCTGGTCTTATCATTGGAGGAGCTTGGGACATTGTTGTCATTGAAAATGGCTACGGTTTACTTTGGGGGAGAGCTGGTCCTTACTTTGAGCATTGCTTCGTGGCTCCAGAGGGGAAGGTGGTGCACTGTTCAATCTCTTGGAAAAGCTTGTTGAGCTAACTTTCCTGATACCGACTTGTCTGTTCTCATTGTTGGAGGAGCTCAGGCCGTCATTGTCACTGAGGATGGCTGTGGTATTTTCTGAGGGAGCTCTGATTCTTACTTTGAGCATTGCTTCTTGACTTCAGTGCAGATCCTTCAGGCTGCTAGCAGAGATCCTTCATCCCGCTGGATGAAGACTTTCTAGCTTCCATCGCTGACCTTTGGGCCTTCCCAGCACAGATCTGTGAAACAGGCCTGCAAGAGGCATTGTTGTGGGCTCTTGGCCTCCAGTTGGACTTGTGGGAGACATTGTTATGGGCTGTGGGTGTTCAGCTGGACTCATGCAGGACATTCCTGTGGGATCCAGGCCCTCAGCTGGATTCTTTGGTCTTTAGTATGTGAACAGATTTCCTACACCCTATAAAATAATCTTACAAATTCTGTGTCCTGTATATAATTGTTTTCCTTATGAATCCTGACTACAAGAGTGAGTTAATATGTGGTCTGTTTTGGAGAAAGTCTCATGTGTTAAGAAGAATATGTATTCTGTTGTTGGATGGAACACTGTGTAGATATCTACTGAGTCCATTTGTTCAGAAGTATGGTTCAGCTCTGATATTTCTTAGTTGATCTTTTATCTGGTTGATTTGTGTATTTGTGACAATGGGATAGTGAGGTCCCCCATTATGACTGTATTAGTACTTGTCTCATTTTTTCATATCCATTAGTGTTTTATGTACTGTTGTTGGGTATGCTAGTATTTGGTGCATATATATTTATGATTTTTGTCTCTTCTTGGATTGTTCACTTAAGGTGTTTATAGTGACTTTTGTCATCTCTTCTGATCAGTGTTGGCTTGAAATACACTTTGTCTGCAAATAGATTAGCTACCCCTTCTTCTTTCCATGTTCCTTTTGCATGGAGTATTATTTTCTATCCTTTGACTTTCAGTCTGTGAGTTTCTGTTTGAGTTGATTATGTTTCTTGTATGCAGCATACTGTTGGATCTTGTTCCAGTCTGCCAATCTGTTTCTTTTGATTGGTGAATTGAGACTTCACATTGATTGTTATAACTGATAGGTATTGACTTATCCTTGTCAAGTTATTATTTTCCTGTTGTTGACTCCTTTTCTTTTCCTTATGTTTAATTGCTTGCCTTGCTGGTGGAGTCATTCAGTTGGGATTTTTGGAATTGTTTCCTTTGTTGTCTTTTTCTGGAATATCCTTGAGAACTTTTTGGAGTGCTGGTGTAGTGGTCATGAATTTCTTCAGGTCTTCTTTATCATGGAAGTATTTTATTTCTCCATCAGTTTTGAAATATAATTTTGTGGGGTATATCAATCTGGGTTGGAGGTTGAAAAAAATGTATGTTACATAGAGAACTAAAACCATGTTATAGGGGGCTGGAGATTTAGCTCAGCGGCACAGCGCCTGCCTGGCAAGTGTGAGGTTGTGAGTTCAATTCCCGGTACCAGAAAAAAAAACAAAACAAAGGAATAAAACCATATTATGAGCAAGATCTCTTCCAAATCTGAGATTTTGTGATTCTTTTTTTTAAATTTAAAGTAATACAAGTAGGTGTTAATAAAGAAAAGACAAAAACCACTCTTCTATGAAAAAATAAAATTTCATAACAAAATAGTGAATAACAATGATTAATATACTTTTTGTCACGATCGTAAAAGAATGGCCAAAATATTACTCAGAGTAGAAGTCATAGACATAAAAGATTCTTATAAAGAATGAACAAAAGGGCAAAACTTTCTCTTTAGGGAATAAAAGAAATGAGAGAGATAAACATCTAGGAGTAGAGTAGAATGAGC